TGGAGCCTGGTTATCAGACAGAGTAGCATCTTGGGTCTTAAAAGATTGTAGTATAGCAAGCAGCCATCTAAGTGAGGCATTAGTTTACTCCACATGGAAGAAGCACATCAGCCTGGGTGCTCCAGAGATTATAAATAATAAAACTCAAATCTGAAGAAGGGAATGGTATCAGAGCTGAAATTGTAGACATCTATTTTGCAGAAGGCCATGGATGATAGCAGAAGCTCAAAATCCATTTGCAGGTTCCCCACATGGATAAAGTCTCTGGTGAATCCCTTCTGACTATATTCAAGGGGTGCAAATAACTTTGCTATTATACAAAGAGCATTGTAAAATAATTATGGCAGATGTAGGTAGGATAAAGTGTAGTACACTATCATCTGATCTCCTTTTTGACCCATTTTAAAATTGTTTCAATTTTTAATGTTTTCAGCTTTCTCTTTGATTGAGCTTTTTCTATGTTTTGTCTAGTCAGTCATTGATTTTTTTTTGTTTTCATGTAGGATTTTGTATGATTGTGTGTTTGTTTTGTATGATTTTCTGTGTATAAAATCCAGGATAGGTGGATCTATAGAGACAGTAACTGGATTGATAAGTGCCTAGGGGCATGGAAGGGGAGGATGGAGGTTAATGAGGAACTAACAATAATGAGAATGAGAAGAAAATGTTCTGAAACTGCTCGTGGTGATGATTGCACAAAGTGTTTCAATATGATAAAACAATTAAAGTGTATTATATGTGAAGTATATGCCAATAAAACTATTTTTTAAAAGAAATGAGGTATTCTACATGAAAAAAGGAATATTAAAAACAAAACCTAACTCCCTATGATCAAGTAAAAAAGAATATTGGCAAGGGTAAATTGACCAACACAATCTATGTGAAAAGACCAAAATAATAAAATCAATAAAATAAAAAAAACCCCAAAGTATTGTATTTTGAGTATTGTATTCTAGTCCTAGTTTAGCATAGATTCAGGAATAAACTGTGATTTGGAGAAGTCATATATCACTCCTACCCTCAACTTTTATCTGAAAAGTTAATAAAGTGAACAAAAGCAGTGATTCTCAATGTCTTGGTCTTTCACAGCACTCATGAAATTTGAAAACACAGTATAGCCCGTGAATTCTTCGTGGTTTAACTTTAATCCTATCTCCTTCTTTTCTAACAAGAATGCATATTTAAATGCACACAAAGAAGGGTATCTTTATTTTCCAAAAAAACTTGAATCTGATGCCACTCACTTGAAAACACAAAACAAAACAAAAATCCACAAACCATTTATAAAATACTTTAATAATAATAATAACACTAATATTAAGACGAATTTAATTTATGAATAAAATATTGTTTGCAACATTCTTCATTATTGCTACATACTCATATTTGGCATCAATGACAATTGATAATTAGATAACTAGGTTTTTTCTAGGGTTTCATGGCACTTAAATATCCAAATGTCATGAATATTCTCCTCATCTGAAAATTGTTCATACACATTATTAAAGGTTTAGTAGCCAAAATTCCTTCAAAATCTGCTGCTACCTCTACTTCTTTAATTTAGCTAAATCACTAAATTACCAAAACAAGCTTAAAAAAAAACCCCAGCAAATACTACAATTGGCCGAGGATAACATTATAAGTTCATTTCATTTCTGGGCTCCTGCCTGTACATCAGGAACCCTGGTGGCATAGTGAGCTGCCACAAGATCAGCAGTTCAAACCCAACAGCCTCTACACAGGAGAAAGATGAAACTTGTTGGAAACTTGTGAGTCAGAATTGGCTTGGTGGCAGTGATTTGGGGCCTTATATGTATGGTTTTCTGAAGTTAAAAAAAAAATCCAGTTGCAGTTGATTCCAACGCACAGCGACCCTGTGGCATAGAGTCAAACTTCCCTCGAAGGTTCCGAAGGCTGTAAATTTGTATGGATGCAGACTGCCACCTTGCTCTCTCACCAAGTGGCTTGTAGATTCAAACTACCATACTTTTGGCTCCTTAAATTGAGAATAGGGTTTTTTAAAGGCACTCAATTTCAGTTATGACCCAAAATGTGAATAGTCAGAGAACACTCTCTCTCTTCTTTCCTCTACTCACGAGCATAGATAGCCCGTAATCGCTTGAGCTTTGGTGTCCACATGTGCATACATGGGCATGTGTGTGGAGCAAGAAGAAACACCGTGAGCTATGTAAGCCCTTAGAGAGGTCGGGAATGAAATACCTGAAAACCAGTCACCTAGACTCCAATCCATCACCTCCACACAATTGGGTGGCTTAGCGCAACAGTCTCTGAAGAGATTTCTATTTGTGAGATGAAATTGAACTGCACTTACAAATTGGTCTGCTCTGATAAAGAAAGGGATTTTTTTAGTGGTTTCTTTAAAAGCTATAAGTGGTTTTCCTAAGAGCCAACAAATCATAAGACACTCTCTATTATCCAAACAGAACCAGGCTCTGGAGCCTTGTTTGTGAGATGAAAAGCCTACGGACTGAGTGTTTTCAGCAGTCTTGGTGTCTTATTATATTGATTTTGTAAAAAAAAATAAATGAAACAATTAATTGACTAAAAATGATTGACCCAGGAGCCTATGTGGATGTCTTCGACTTTCATTAAGTTGTTATTTTATGGTGTCCGTGGCGATAGGACTACTTACTCCCTTTTGGGGGCTATTGTCAATTTCCAAACTACCTATTTCCTATTACTCTCTACTAGGTAACTCATGTGATATGTTTCGTAATAACAAGGCTCCTCCTTCTTTTCCAAGAGACAGAAGGGAAACAGTGGAAAGTTAGAGGACAAGTAAAAGTGTAACACAGGCCACGTTGGCAGGAAGCATCTCTCTTTTTGAGGGCGTTTTCAAAAGTTGTAAGTGGTATTGAGGGGAGAGGGAAACCCTGATGGCACAATGGTTTATGCTTTGGGCTGCTATCAGCAATATCAGCAGTTTAAAACCACCAGCTGCTCAGCTTGAAAAAGACGAGGCTTTCTACTCATGTAAAGAATTAGAGTCTCAAATCCCAGAGGGGCCGTCTGGTTTGGAACTTTTGGAGGTTTTATTGGAGATTCAGCAATTCTGAGCACACCCAGCTGGCAGGCAGGGTGGTTTATGATAAGAGTAGGTGAGAAAGATACCCATGACACATAAGCATGCCACTCTTTTGATCGTTATCTTGCTTTTCAATAGAGACCTGCACTATTGAGCTTCTAATAACAAGAGTGACCAAAGGCTTTCATGTCTCCAAATGTGGGCTAATTTGGCTATACTTTTGCCCCAGCCCCCATTCATTGTGAGCGATGACAAGACAGGATTTTCAGAAATGCGGTCTGGCTATTGAATATGGATACTAGGAGATCCGTGTATATGAACAAAGCCCAACGATCTGGATGAGGTGTGACCTGTACAACTTACTCTGTACTATTTGTAAAACATCAACCGTTGCTATAATTTTCAAGGAGAAGTGTAAGTTTAAATTCCAAGCTTTGGTATTTTTTCTTCCATTTTTCTCACGGGAGAAATAACAGCTCTGGAATGAACCTTTATCACAGCAGTCAAGAAATAGAACAATAAAAGAATTAACATTGCTCTGTCACATATTCTCTCTGATTATCACTAGGCTGGGACTCCATGAGGCTGGAATGAAAGCTCTATTTATCACTATAGCCACAACGTCTTGCAAAAGTAGGTGCTAAATAAATATTTGTGGACGGAATGACCCATGTGCGATGCAGCCAGGGCAGGTGTTGTTTTTCTTTTCCTCATTTGAAAGGCAAAGCAGTCTTTTCAGACAAGTTTCGTCACTTTCTCAAGGTCATATAGCTAGCAAGTGAGGAAACAAGGCCTCTAGACTCCCAAACCTCTGCTTTTCTCCAGATGCTTGGGCTACAGGGTCTAACTCTGGAACTAATTTGTAAATCCTTTAAACTATCATGAGATCATTTCCTTTATCATTAAAATAAGAGAAGGCATTACCGAGTGATTTTGGGGATCCCACCTAGGTGTAAACTTCTGGGTTTAATGAACAATGTCATTTACAGTGTCATTCTTATTTCGGAAAGCCTTTTATTTACCAAGGAGCTAGTGCTAATGTTGGAGTTAAAAGAGCTTGATGATACCAATCAGCCCAGAGAGGGAAACAGAAAGGAGACAGAGGCCCAGGACCTCTGTCACAGACCTCTTTTTAACTAAAGGTCCCTTCTTTTATGAAATCAGTGAGATGGTTTTGGGATTAGTTTACCTTGCAAAAACACCCTGGGGAAATTCTATTTAATTGCTAACATATAACTACACTAGTAGCTTTTTTGGCAATGATGTCCATACCTGATGACCCTGCTTATCCAATTAACTCATCTTCCCTGATGCCTACCCCACTGACACACACCACGTGGTGTTCACCAACTACACCCGCAAGGGCCAGAGTTGGGATATAAACTTTTACAATAAATTAATTGGTGGCAGGCCTCCTTTGTGCATGCCACCAAGAACTTCAGGGACAGATTTTGTATTTGAATTTCAAAATAAAATCCCAACATGCCCCTCACATATAAGGCTCCTCTATCACAGCTTTGTAAATATCCAGCTGCTGCTGGAGGCCCGTTTGTTCCAGAACTCTTAAATCCCAATGTCCCTAGGGTGATGTGTTGCTTTCAACAAACCCAAACACAAACAGAGAGCCCTGTGTCAATTCATTCCTCCTAATTTCTTCAGCCTGTTGCTCCTTTAAAATGTATGCAAAAACAGAAGATATTGCGAATATTTTCTCGGTTCTACCTGCCACCAGTTAGTTAACTTCTCCCACAGCACCCAATGAAATCTAATTATGCACAGGCTGAGCCATGCAAGCTTGGATGGAATTAACGACAGCTGTCTCAAATAAGAGTGGAACGGGAAGGGCTACACGCTGAAAGAAGTCTCATGTGACTGCAAGCCTCTGCAGAATATAAATTCACTATCATTCCAGTTCCTAAATCAGATCTAAATCCTAAGTGAGACCAGCACTTACCGAAAATTACGCACGATGAAGTCGTAACCATTCCTCAGAACTGCATTGTTCAGCAGGGGCCTGAATTTAATCAGCATCTTCTATTGATACGTAAAGGGATGATTCTATGCTCTGGAGAACTCCACGCCGAGTTAGCCCGTGGAAACTACCTAAATGCTAAGAGTGTTCGGTATTGCAACGAGGGTGCAAAGGTAAATTACTCTTCTACTACCTTATCAGATGCCCCTGGGTAGAGATATCACAGGGCAAGGTGCAGAAGCATTTGAACTTTAAGTCAAGCTCCTGCACTGTGTGTTTTCTGAGAAGGAATCCAGTTTGTTGTGCAACCGTCTTCTTTTTTCATAATATATGACGCTAAGTAAAAAAGGATTGCTACCAACTCATGGAAACCAATAAACAAAATAACAAAAGGTGAAACTGTTTCTCAACATATCCTTCATCTAGGTCTATGCAGTCCTGAAGGCAGTGGTGCTGTGTCTCTAAGTCTTTCCTGAAGACTTGGATACCATGTCAAAGCAGCGGTTTTGCCATCCGCAAGGGACTCAAATTATGCTTCTTTTAAATGTTCCTTGAGTTGGGGGCGGGGACAGGTAAGAAGTCTGAATGGGCAAGATCAAGGCTGGAGGGTGAATGGAGTAATGTTTCCCCAGAAAACTCTCAGAGAACCATTCTTGCTACCTTTGTAGAATAAGCAGGTGCATTGTATAAATGGAGAAAATTTCTCGGTGCAAGCTTCTTGGCCTTGTCCTCATCAATTCAGTTTTAGATTTTCTTCAAACATCTTCCTAATAAGCCCCTGTAATCATCTTTTGCCCTCGAGAAAATCTGTCAATTAAATTGATTACTCTTTAAAATACTACTACTAATAAATAATTGCCATAACTCTCTGAGCTGACCTCTCTTTCCTGGGCCCAGCAGATCTCCAGATCGATTTCCTAAAAAATCACTATTTTAATTGAACCTTTTTTTTGGGGGGGGGAAAGCACCATAACAACACTATAACACATGTGTATTACTGATAGAATTTGTCTGCAGCCATCCACTAATTAAAGAGAAGTATTTAAATATATTTTATTTGGGAAACAGTCATGCATGTGCATGTCTGAACTGGAGCCTCAGTAGCAAAGCTTTTTTACTTCTGTTGTATTTATGCTACCTCACAAGATCAATTGGCCAGTGCTCATTGAGCGTATAATGCATGCAAGAAACTGCAGTGCCAGTTACCATAAGGGCATATAGAAAGAACTCATTCAGAAAACACGAACTGGCAGTGCCAAACCCGATAGCCTGGAATATTGCCAGTGATATTACCCTTTTACCTTTAATTCTCAAGCGTTCCACACAAACACACAGAAAGGAATGGCCTTGAAGCTGCTTTTGCTGACAGGACTCTGGGAAGGAGCTATTGTTGTTAGCTGTCCTCGGGTTAATCCTGATTTGTGGTAACCTCGTGTATGCAGAGTAGAACTACTCCAAAGGGCTTTCAGGGCTATAGCCTTTCAGAAGTAGATTACCACTTTTGTCTTCTGAGGCATCATTAGACAGCTTTGACTCACTACCCTTTCAGTTAGTGGTTGAGGGCTTAACTGTTAACATACTCAGGGACTGGGAGAGGCCATCAAGGAAAGGTTAAAAAGATCTCGGTCCTGGAGATCCTATTGTGCCTTGCGTAGTAGGTCTTCAATAAATGGTTTCTAATTGATTTCAGGAGGAGCCTACCTTCTGGAGAAGTTTGGAGAGAGGGTATCATATGCCTCAGCCGTAACAGTTTTTCCTGATCACTAAATGGGTCGTCTGCAGCTTCACATTTATTTGCTACAATTAAAAATTAGATGCTTCCTTCATCTGTTATGTGCTAGATGCTAGACTATACAGCAGTTTCAGTGTAGGAAGATGAGAATAAGCTCGCCTTCATGGAGTTACAGTTCAGTAAAGGTGATAAGATTTGATTTTTTTTAAAAAGTACCCATATCACCAAGACATATCATAAACAAACTTTCCAAAACCAAAGACAATGAAAGATTCCTGAAAGAAACTCAGAAAAAAAGAAAAGTAAACTACAAAGTAGAACAAATAAGGCTGAACTGGTTTGTCATCACAAACAATATAGGCAAAAAAGCATGGGATGACATATGAGGGAGTTTCAAAAATTTGTGGGAAAATTACAGTATCTTTTAAATTCAATTTCCATAAACTTTTGAAGCCCCCCTTATGTGAAATTCTGAAAGAACAAAAATTTTCATCCAAGAATTATACCTTTAGCAGAATTGTCCCTCAAACATGATGCCAAAATTAGTACATTTCCAGAAGAAAAACAAAACAGAAATTAAGAGACTTTTGTAAAAACCAGACCAATCTTACAAAAAAACCAAGCAGGATCATTCAGACCCAGAACCAATGATAGTACACAACAACCTGAGATTACGATACATAACAACATTACCCATAAACCAACTAAGATATAGAAGTAACCAAAGCAAAATAAAACGATAAGGCTGAAAATAAGGAATCAACAGAGAAGTGCATTTGTAAATTAGGACGACAACAAAGTAATAAGAAGGAATAAATTGTGTATATTGTCACAGAATTTCCAAGTGAACAGGAAGATACTATCAAGTTAAAATGGACTGTTTTAAATTTGGGAATAGAATAAAAATTACAGGGTAAACTCAAAGAAAATTAAGAAACTTCCTTACCAACGTAAAACAAGAAGAATCATACCAATCTTTTGTTTTCATTGGTGCTGATAGGTACTTTTGATTCGGTTCTGGCTCATTGGACGTTATGTAGAACCGAAGGAAACACTGCCCAATCCTGCACCATCCTCACCGTTGTGATGTTTGAGCCCATTGTTGCAGGCACCATCTCCTCAAAGGTCTTCCTCTCTTTCACTGGCCCTCTACTTTGCCAAACATGAAGTCCTTTTCAAAGGACTAGGATTTCCTGATGACACGTCCAAAGGACATGAGACTCAGTCTCATCATTCTTGCTCCTAAGGAAGATTCTGGTTGTACTTCTTCCAAGAGAGATGTGTTTGTTCTGAAAGTGGATGGCATTTTCAATATTCTTTGCCAGCACCATAATTCAAATACATGTGTCATTTTACTATGCTCCTGTTTTATTGTCCAACTTTCGCATGCATATGGGGCTATTGAAAATGC